ATCAGCCGCTCCCTCGTGAGCATCTCTGTCCACACACGCCCTCGGGGCTGCTGCCGTGGGCAGTGCGCGGGCAGCGTGCTCCGGGCGGGAATTTCTCCGGCGTTGGCGCTGGAGCAGCGCTAAGTGGTTCAATATGTGGGCGGTTGCCGCTGGGGTCGGACAGTAAACGCTAATGCGATATTAGCCCGCGCGCCGTCCAGAACCCGCTGCAAGGGTTTAGTGCAAATTGGATTTGCAAACCTCTCTCAGGTCTCTCTGCCCTCGGCAAAGCATCGTAATCCCCGGCGAGTGCCTCAACAAGCCAATTCCTTCCGTGCAAAGGGAGGGAAAAACCAGGATATAGAAGGAAAAAGGGCAAGGAAAAAGGTGATGGTGTTTCCCACTGCCCGTCTGGAAGCAGCCCCGCATCCTACCTGCGTCTCTTGCTGTTTGCAGGCAGCTTTTCCCCTGGCATCTTGTTGCRGGCTCCAAGTCCCAGACCCCCAGGTATCTTGTCCGAGATCTGGGTGCCGGCGCGGTGCCGCGCTGGGGATCGCGCTCCCGGYGCAGACAGCATCGCAGGGCACAGACCCCGCAGCTCCATCCCTGCCGCTCCAGAGGATGCCGGGGGAGCATTCCCATGGCAGGGAGCTGCGGTCGGCGGCGGGGATTCCTGCTCTTGTCCCTCCAGGGAGAGCAGGGGGCTSGAGCCAGGAGCCGAACCGTGTGGCTCTGGGCTTTCCTCACATCCCGTTTCTTTCTTTCTTTTGGTGCGGGGAACTGGGAAAGGGGTTGTGGTTCCCGGGAGGGCTGGTTTGCCAGCCAGGGGGTTCAGTGTGGCCCAGTCTTGCCTGGCAGCACCCACATGCTGGAGGAGCGGGAACCTGCGTGGACGAAGGGCCGGGATCCCRGAGGGAGCGGGAAGCTCAGCGCCCCACAGGCTTCTGGCACTGGGGAAACTGGGGAAACTTTGTCTCTGGTGGCGACATCCCCCCTGCACCTCAGAGCCCGTCCGTGCTGGGAACCATGACTGCCTCGGCCGAGAGCTTAATTGGATCAAGGGAAAAGGGATTTTCGCAGGTGCCCTGCGGCRGATCAGGACGGGCAGCACGAGGACAAGGCTATTCCGGGGAGTGATGAAGAGGAGCAGGCAGCCCTCGTCAGCCCAGGAGCAAGGCGGCCTCATGCCCTTGGAGTGAGGTTTGGACGCTTGGCATCGGGCTGGTGCCTTCTGCTCCAGGCGAAACGATGCTTTTCTTGGAAGAGGGCAAAAGAGCAATAAAAGAATAGAAATACCCAAGTATTTCTACCAAAGTGGGCTCTCCTAGGCAGCCTATGCGCCGAGCTGACCCYGGGGTGCGCTGTGCCGCACCTACCCTAGGGAACGGTGCTGGCCAAGCAGTGGCATCGAGGAGGGATGTTTGCAGCCTGTCGCCTTCTCCCAGTCCGGTCCCGGCCCCGTGTCGTAGCGGCGCGGTGCTGAAACGGGCCCGGGCAAAAGCACCTCCGGTGTCTCGGCGGTGCTGCCAAACCCGGAGCTTCCAGCCCCGTCTCCGCAGGCGCTGGGGCTGTTGCGACAAGCCGCAGCAATTAGCTCCCCCGCTGCAAAGCGCCCTGTGCTGGCACCACGAGCGTGAGCGGGGGCACGCTGACACCGGAACAGGCAAAACCTGGTGTTTGGTCTTYGGGTTCCTGCCCTTTCCCTGGTGGAAACACAGGGCTCCAGGCTGGGTCGAGATACGGAGCATCCATATGTACTTATTTATTTGTTTGCTTATCTTTGCAGTGTCAGCGCTCTGTTTTGCAATCCTTGTTTATTCCCACCTTATTCCTTGGCCTGGGATTTGCTGAGGGTGACAAACTTCCCAACCTCAGCAAAACTGGTTTGCAATGGTGGAGCAAGGGGCTGAGGTCGCGTTTCCAGCCCTGCATTTCTGCTGGGGGAGCCCATCCTGCAGCAGCATTTTAGGAGGCAGGAATTGCCCCATAGCTGGCWCAGCGGGCGGGAGGAAGCAGCTCTCGGTGGCCCCTCGTTTGGGCACGTGGGTTGGGTGCCACTCGTGCAGACGAGGACGGATGCGGCTGGGCAGCGGGAGAGGCAGCAGCAGCCGAGATGGGAGATGTTTGCAGCAAGGGGAGACGTTTGCAGCGAGGGG